ACTACATAGACAAAAAAAAAAGTGGACATCCTTTTTTTTAAAGAATGGATTTGGCTATTAAGTGCATGAAACTGAGCATTCAACTGTGTGAGACCCTTGTCTTCTCTGGCATGAAAATGTGCACAAAATGTAGTCAATATAGAAATGGTCTGTTGTGGAAAAAGCTGACTGGCCTACACAACATCCAGACCTGAACTTGTTTTGGGATGAATTGGAACGCCAACTTCGAGCCAGTCTCCATTGCCCAAAATCAGTGCCTGACCTCCCTCATGCTGATGTATCTGAATGAGAGTAAATCCCTGCAGCCATGTTACAACATCTTCCATATTCCACAACATCCCCACAGCATGTTCCAGGCCTTTTCAGAAGATTGAAAACTATTATAGTTGCAAAGGGAGGACCAACTCCCTGTCAATACCTGTGGTTTTGAAATTAAATGCTCAAATAAGCTCATATGGGTGTGGTGTTTGGGAATCCACATACTTCTGACCATAAAGAGTATTTCCAAATGATATTTACACCAGTCTAATTAGGTTAACGGATGCCTCTAATCAGGCAGATATATGCCAGTAGGAGACCTAGCTGGCTTTGTGAGTGCTTGCGCAAATGTTTCTAACTCTAGGAAGGATTTGTGCATGTGACTGACTGTAGGAACTTTGGGTGAGAGACATTTAAAAAAAAATGTTTTTAATTTATTTTCTTTTTTATTTATGAGGTAAAGCTAATTTGCTCTCATATTTGTCTTTGACTCTGTAAAGTTCTCTTAGTTACGTTACACCAGTCTAATTAGGTTAACGGATGCCTCTAATCAGGCAGATATATGCCAGTAGGAGACCTAGCTGGCTTTGTGAGTGCTTACGCAAATGTTTCTAACTCTAGGAAGGATTTGTGCATGTGACTGACTGTAGGAACTTTGGGTGAGAGACATTTAAAAAAAAAATGTTTTTAATTTATTTTCTTTTTTATTTATGAGGTAAAGCTAATTTGCTCTCATATTTGTCTTTGACTCTGTAAAGTTCTCTTAGTTACTCTTCTGATTGGTTGCAGAACACGGTTCCTCCAGGAGATGAATCCTGTTTTGTGTTAAGATCAAGGAGACTTAATGGATTCAAACTATCCTTCTTTCTACACTTTTTTTTAGTTACAGGAATTGTATTTCTAAAAGAAAAAAGTCAGGATCATGAATGAGATACCATGATAAAAGAAGGATGCATAGGAGTTGTGTGCGTTTAGGCCAGTCTACTCTTGGATATCGTGCAGGTCTTAGCATGGCCCAATTTGGTCTTGGTCACATGATCTCCACAGATTTAGGGCTTTGGTTCTAGATCTTAGACCAGGCTAGGACTAAGCAGAATGCTTTTAGTACTTTCTCCCTTCTCCTGCCAAAACATAGAGGTTTCTTTTTTTTTTTTTGCAAACAAAGATATTTATTTTATTAGAAAACATTCAAACCAGATGATCAAAAACCCCAATTTTCTCTCTCACCAGAGCCAAAGTAAATAGGGCTGTTAAAAGATTCCCAGTGCATTTCCCCCCATAGCCAAATGTCAAGAACAGAAAGAAAAAGAATCAGTGAAAGGAAGAGAAAGAGAAAGAGAGCGAGACGAAAATGTGTATTCAATCAGTTTTTCTCTAATTAAGTTTTGTAGATACTTTCTATGAGCCATGGTCCTGTCCTGTTGCTTTCAGGATGGAGAGAAAAAAGATGGAGAGGAGAGAGATGTTCATCGAAATTTTTTCTCATTGTAATTTTAATGATATGCACTTCATTATTTTGAGGTCTTCTAATTCAGGGATTTTTAAACGGCAGTCTAGGATCCACAAGAGGGTGCTAGAAGGACAATAAAAAAATTAAAGATAAAGATTTTACAAAATGAGTTTTGGAGCTGTCGAAGTTCACATAAAATCTGTTTATTAAATATGTTTAATGCAAAAAAACGGCTTTGGAGCAATATTTATTGTGAAAAGTGCCTCACATTTTTTATGGGAATATTTTTATTGAAAATGTTTCTCTTCTGGTTTATACATCTAACATGAATAGTGCATAGAAAAAAGGTACAGTTTCAGCTTAAAACAAAGTATATATTTTTGCAGATAATATTTTAATAATTTGCTTTAGTACAGTAACCATTTTAATTTAAAATGTATTTTGCAAACAACATTTTCTTTTCTTTGCATATTGCATACTACAATATTACAAGTTAATTGTTGTTGTTTTTTGTACATGAAATTTATAATTGCCTTTATATTATCAGATGGGTCTCACACAAGAGGTCATCATATTATGAAGTCCTTGTCATCAAAAAGTTAGCAAAACCCTGTTTTATCTAATTATTTGTAATTATTCTGTTCTGTTCTTTGTGAGAACTGTCATGCACACAGGCATGCACCGTGGTGATGCAGCGTTTGCTGAAGTCTTTGCCAAGCCTTCAGACACTTCAGAGGACAAATAGTATTTCAACAGTTTTGCCAGTCTTAGTACTTGACATCCAAAATGCATCAGTAGTTTTGAGAGGAGAAAAAAGGAACATGCAGAACTGTGGTTGCTCATAAAATGGAATATTGGTTGGTGGCTTAATTTTCTTCAGACCATGAAACTATCCTGAAGGTTATTTGAAAGAATGCCTTGACTCTGCTGAAATGTGCAGACAGTGAAGCAGTACAGCACACGTCTTAGTGAACAAGGGCTGCCCTAAACCAAAATAAATCCAGTTATAAATGTATACGTACATTCAAAAGTCCCTTTAGCTTTTATCCAAAATACTAGTCGAGAAGGCCAGCAATGGCTTTATGATATTGCAATATTTTGGATGCTTTTACACAAAGTGACTTACAATAGCGGAATTGTCAATGCAAGCTTTATTAGAAAGCTAGACTAGAAACAAACTAGAGCAGAGGTGAAAAGCAAAGAATAGAATAGGTCATCCTAAGGTTTTAGATCCAGTTTCTGTCTTTCTGTTGAAGCTGCTCACATCAGTTTTGTGGAGTGTTTATGTCCCAACAGCTGTGCTGTACACCAGTGGTTCTCAACCAGGGGCCCAGTAACGACAAGATTACTTATAATGGTTTAAAACTTAAAATGTTACTTCATTTTAAAAGTGTGATTTCTAGACCTGGAATAAGTTAATGAAATGAATGAAATATTAAAATGCCATAGGCGTTATAATGAATATACATTTCTGTAGTCTCTAAAATATTTTATGAATTGTGAAATTGAAAAAAAAAGAAAAAAAGAAATTGTGATTAATATGTATTTAGAAAATGTTTTCATGCTTAATCATTTAAAGTAAGTCTTTGGATATTGTTGTGGACCCTGTGGCGCCTTGGAGTCAAAATGGTTGTGAACCAGTGCTGTACATTAAAGATTTGATAAATGAACTTGTGATGAGACTTTACAATATGATATACTACTGTACATTGCCATCTTCATCTGTAATTTTTTGGCTTTTCAAAGCAAACTAGAAATGTGCGCTATATATATATATTATAAAGAGAATTTATTTTCATGTATGTTCATGTTTTTTTCCTATGTTGATTTAACTATGCAACACGCATGTATACAGTTTGTTGCTCTGTGACCGTAAACAGGATATTGCCCTCACACACATAAACACACACAGTCTTGTAGAGCAGTGCCGTGTGACACACTCTGACACGAGTACACACACATTCCTTGGCACGACAGTGGCATGTGGGCCACTTAAACAACACTGTCGGCCCCCTGCCTGGCCGACACACCACCACACTCACTAACCACTAAAACGGGGAAAAAAACCCAGTGGAGCCCGGCATTGCTCCATCACTACTGTTTTTTCTCCCTCATCGTAAAAGTTAAAAAGAATGATGGAAGCGAAACTTGAAGTCCGTCCTCTGGGTGAGATGAACCTGGCCTTCTGGAAGAGAGAGCAGTGTGTGTGGGTCCAGCCAGCAGAGGATTCTCAGCTCTCTCAAATGCACTGTGTTTTATGCCATGGTGGCTTAGTCTGTCTTTCATCCATCTGTCAAACACACACACTCTTGTATTTGCACAGTACTCACATCATAATCAGACTATGCTTTTGTTTCTCGTTTTGAAGCAATGTCACTTGCAGAGGGTGTTTTATATTAACAACACTCTTTTGTCTTTCGGTTGGATGGGGATTTGGTGCTGGCTGAGGTGGGAACTGCCTGATTTGTACCTTTTCGAAAAATTCCCACACTTTCCACATGGAGTGCGTGAGCATTGGTGAGGTTTACTGTATCAGTGGCGATTAGCACATCAAATTGCAGCAGAACATCAGCGCTCCTGAATCATACCCGTGAAATTACCAGGAAAATTCTAGTTTCTGTTGATATGCTTACGCTTACGGGCATTACAGCAGAGGTATGATTTATCAGTCACTTATGGAAAAGATTAAGTTGTGGAAAGGGTTGTTTCAACTGGTCGTTTGGTCTGTGGATGGTGTCACTGTCACTCATGCATGTGTCTGCTTAAAATGTTTTGACACTTGAGTGTATTTTCTCTCGACTTTTTTCCTTTCTTTGCTTTTCCTAACCTTGTCTTGTTGTTTGTGTTGAATTTGTCTTACATGCTTTAGTTGGGGCGATGGGTAAGTGGAGGCTGTTATTGCTTTCAGACTAGATGTTCTTGTTCATGAAGTGATTTATTTATTTAATTAAGCAAGGGTCTAATGAATAAGGGATGTGGTGTCAAACTCATATGTGGCGTATTGACCTTCCTTTCTTTTAATGTTTCTTTCCGTCCTCTTGTTTTCTTGCTCTGTGTCTGCTGCAGGATGACTTTATGGACTGGTGGAGCAAGTTGTATGCCTCCACGGGTGAGAGAAACAAGTGTGGCAGTTATCTGTTGCTACCGTATTTTTTACGGTAAAATTCCGGCAACCACAGCTGCAATTTTTTTACCGTAAATTTTATGGAATTTTTTTTACAGTGTACATTAAGAATCCTATACCTACAATTTTATGAATGTTATGAAATGAGACATACTGTTGCCTACTGTGTTGCAGGAAAGTAGGCATATTCAGACACAGGGACTGTCATTTAAGCACATACAGTAAATACTGGATAGAACAGTACCAAACCAGCATATTTCAAAAGTACTATATATACTGTACAGTATATGTGTTATATGTATATGCTGACAGCCTCTACTGCACTCCATCAAAACATTCGTGAAAAACGAAGGACTGGATTGTAAAGTCAAGGACGAAATTGAACCTGCTTTAGAAACTAATTTAACCTTCTAGGACCTACAAATTCCTACGGTTGTTTTGGATATTGTTTATATTTCTGAATGAACTGTCAATCAAACCACATGGAAAGTCTGTTCGGTATATTCTAAACAAAACTTATGTTAAAAGTCTATTCAGCGCTCAATTATTACCAACTCTGTTTGGTTATTTTTCATCAGTAGTGCACACAAGCCCTTTCAGACCCAAAGTTAACACCACCAGTGCCCTACAGTATAACCTTTACCTCAGGAATTGAGAATGTTTGCAGCCATTTTTACAGGTTTTGCATGAATGAATTTTTGGAGGAGCAGTGAAGTTCACTGTTTTCCCTCAGCCTTTCCGACCACCCTGTTCCAATACCAGGCCGCCCAGGGTCACAGCAGCCATTATAAATCCTCTCATTTTTAGAAGTTCCTAGGTTCCTGATGTCTGAAATCGTATCATGCCCATAACATTATCTTTTCATCTGTATAACATCACTTTTGACGGTGTGTTTCCCTTTTTGCGAGCGTGCACGCACATATACACCCAGGTTTATGCAGAGGTGCAGTCTTTTCTGGTGCAGTACTTATTTTAATAATACTCCTAAGCCCTAAAACCTTTGGGCAGAGTATAGAATAACTAAACACATACATCTGGTGCGCTCAAAGTGTCTGGGTGACCAGACGCACATGCACACGCTCATTACACATCATTTCAGAGGCAAAATGGAACATTATTTCCTTACTCGCAAGCACTCAGATTAACACAAATTTGCGCACAAACACCGAAGGCGCACACACATAGTAGCTAGCATGGAAACATGGCTGTCACGGCGTCCTTAGGCTCCGCTTTAATAGCTCTGTCAGACAAAGAGAGGAGACATGTGGCAGTACTATGAAAAGCACCATTCAGGGCCAGTTAGACTGCCACACAGCCAGGCCAACTCAGCTTAAGTGATTCTGAAGGCAACTTCACAATACTTTTACCCTGTGTGCCGCATCTGGGTAAACGCATGGGCTGGACTAAGGGACTGTTCCCTAAAAACATGTAACTTCATGTTACCTTCACCTTCTGCTCATCTGAGTTGAGTCATTAATTTATTTTCTTTATTATATTGGCTTGAGGAAGTTGTGTAAATCTGAGTTTACAAAATCTCTGACCTGAATACCAAAATGACTCTAGAGCTTTCAAGTTACAGCCAGTTGTCTAAATGTGTTATGTCTTTCATAAATGATTGGATTTACTGTTTTTAAACCTTTATGACTGTAATTCCTCCAACAGTTGTGAGTTTTGTGAGTTTTCGCTCTGCGTTCACCAAACTTGGCAGTCCTATAACCTGTTCTGATTTCTGATCACGCACATGTGCTGCACACGTCTCTTCTGTAAGTGCTTGACTCTTAATGCAATTACTCTTTAGAAAAAAAGCTACTCGTTTTTGTCTGTTGTGTCATTGTTTTACAGAGTCTAATATTTTCTGTGCAATTCTGAAGCTTTGTATTGTGACACTTCCTCTCACTTGAAGTATTACTGTCATTAAAAAAAATTGGATTTGTTTATTTGTAAGTAGCTTTGAATAATACCATCTTCCAAGTTATTAAATATAAAAAAGGACAAGGTAAGTCCTTATAAAGTAAGGACATTGATAAAATAGTCAATGTGACATCAGTGGTTCAACCGTAATGTCATGAAGCTACGAGAATACTTTTTGTGTGCAAAGAAAAAAATTAGATACTTCATTCCACAATTTCTTCTCTTCCGTGTCAGTCTTCACTGCGCTTTCATGAGAGTACCGCGACGCATGCATGTGATGCTGCTGATGCAGGAGCCGGCGTTCTGACGTAGAAAGTACATGCCCTGCGACTTGTTTGCAAGCAGAGGAATGCACATGCATGCGTTGTGGTACTGTTGTGAATGCGAGTCGAAGTCTGACACGAAAAATAAAGATCACGCACATGTGCTGCACACGTCTCTTCTGTAAGTGCTTGACTCTTAATGCAATTACTCTTTAGAAAAAAAGCTACTCGTTTTTGTCTGTTGTGTCATTGTTTTACAGAGTCTAATATTTTCTGTGCAATTCTGAAGCTTTGTATTGTGACACTTCCTCTCACTTGAAGTATTACTGTCATTAAAAAAAATTGGATTTGTTTATTTGTAAGTAGCTTTGAATAATACCATCTTCCAAGTTATTAAATATAAAATACACTACTATTTAAAAGTTTGGGGTCTGTACAATTTTTTTTTTTGAAAGACATTAATAATTTTATTCAGCAAGAACTTGTAAAGTTGATTAAAAGTGCTAGTATTTCAAATGAAAAGCTTACTATTTCAAATTAATGCAGTTTTTTTTTAACTTTCTGTCCATCCAAAAAAAAAAGAAAGAAAAAAAAGTCCTTAAAAAATATATTACTGTTTCCACAAAAATATTGATAACATTGATAATAAGAAGAAATATTGCTTGAACAAAAAAAATCTACATATTTGAATGATTTCAGATTCCATGTGACACTGAAGACTAGAGTAATGGCTGCTGAGAATCCAGCTTTGCTATCAGAGGAATACATTTTTCATTTCATTTTCATATATTTGAAATTGTAATAATATTTCAGAATATTACAGTTTTGCTCTATTTTTGATCAAATGCAGCCTTGGCGAGCATGAGAGACTTTCAAAAACATGAAAAAAATCTTACTGACCCCAAACTTTTCATCTGTAATTTTTTGGCTTTTCAAAGCAAACTAGAAATGTGCGCTATATATATATATTATAAAGAGAATTTATTTTCATGTATGTTCATGTTTTTTTCCTATGTTGATTTAACTATGCAACACGGGATGCGTGGTGGCAATGGGTTGCATGGTGCATTCGTCCAATCAATGACACTGATGGCCCTTAAGGCATTTTTCAAAACATTTTTCTTATTTTGTGTTCATACTGGTTTGGGATGACAGAACATTTTGGGGAGAAGATCCCAGTGCATGGTTTCCTACAGAACTAGAGAATAAAAAGTTATCTGTGAAATGTGAAGGAATAATTAACCAAAAGTGAACATTTTGTCATTGCTTATTCATCCTCATGTCTCCCCAAAGGCACATTTACCACAATCCCAGTGGTATGGAATCTGTACATGGAGATTAACAGCAAAAGTTCATCGTAACTATAGTGACATTATCAGTGCCCAACGAAAACCAAACATAGTGATGCCAGAACTTCAAAGCCCTGTGGTCTCTCTCGGGAGTGCGCACGCTCTCACTCACCCTGACTCCAGTCCACTCCAGCCCACTTCCCACAAGCTTATCCATTTATAATAGAGCCCGTGGCTGCCAGATTTCCAACTTTTCCGATGAATTCATGTTGGGGTTGCCGCAGGGGGATAACCAAGTGCAGACAAGGGCTCCGTTACTGACGTCATCGGCCCATTTTCCCCCAGCCCCCACACCTCCCTATCATCCCTCGATCTCTGGCTGGTTTGTCAGCGATCTCCCATCACCACGTTCTCTCTCTACTTGCCTTAGCCACTATTTCCAACCTTTACGATCTGAACGTGTCCGTTAGTCATCTGGCAGGGGTTAGGTTCTCAGGGCTACCTGCAAGGCCTGGGGTTCGATTGTTGGCTGCCACCGTGTGAGAGCGTCCCACGCACCGGGAGGAGCAGCAGACAGAAACACTTTCCCTAAAACTGCTGAGATTAGTTGTTATTTTGGGCTAATGGTGCCTGAGGGAGAGATTGAAGGCAGGGAAAGAGCAAAAGAGATCGGTAGAGGGTTTCATGTGATGTGTGCCGTGTCACATGTTCAGGGACGGTTACTGACGTCATCGGCCCATTTTCCCCCAGCCCCCACACCTCCCTATCATCCCTCGATCTCTGGCTGGTTTGTCAGCGATCTCCCATCACCACGTTCTCTCTCTACTTGCCTTAGCCACTATTTCCAACCTTTACGATCTGAACGTGTCCGTTAGTCATCTGGCAGGGGTTAGGTTCTCAGGGCTACCTGCAAGGCCTGGGGTTCGATTGTTGGCTGCCACCGTGTGAGAGCGTCCCACGCACCGGGAGGAGCAGCAGACAGAAACACTTTCCCTAAAACTGCTGAGATTAGTTGTTATTTTGGGCTAATGGTGCCTGAGGGAGAGATTGAAGGCAGGGAAAGAGCAAAAGAGACTGGTAGAGGGTTTCATGTGATGTGTGCCGTGTCACATGTTCAGGGACCAGGCCTGAGTGAGTCAACTAGAAAAACAGAGCGACTCGCTTACGAGGATTCCTTCATACTTTTGTCACTGAGTTGTCTCCTGGGTGGCCTCTTGGTTGGAGAGTTGTGCGCCGCTAGTTAAAAGTTGTGTAATGTCACGGCGAAGCATATTTTCCTTGGGCACAAATCGTTGTTGTGCATTTTTATTGCCATTTTGAAACATTCTCATAATCAGGAATTTCCAGATCTTTTTGCCTTAATGATGCTTTTGAGGTTGTTTGACTTGCGCCTGATATGTTAAACCTACAATTAAAGATCTCAGAGTCCAAGATTCTTAAAGAAAACTGCTTTGGCAAGACAAACAATGAATGTCTTGTCCATAGTATATGTCCTTTCAGCCCTTTCAGTTGATTATGGCACGTTTTTAAAGAACTAGATCTGCATGCAAATCATATATCACAAAATACACACTCTCCTGTGCTCCTTTCTCAGGTGTATGACAGAGAACTGGAGAAGGCTGAAGGCTTTGAGCAGTTGGCTGATTTCTGTCAAACGTTTAAACTTCTCCGTGGAAGAGTCCAGAACGAGAGTGAAGACCCTTCTGTTGTTGGAGAGTTCAAGGTAGGGTCACTCATAACCTCTCAGCTACTATCAAGTGCTATCACATTCAGTCTCCAAGAGGAAAAAAATTCAGACGGCGCCAGATGAAGCAATGGATGGGTGCCGTTGCTTATTAGCTAAGCTAATGAAAAGTCATTTGAATTGGCCCTTCTATTTAAACTGATCAGATACTTGCCTCTGGCAGGTTCAGTCTGTACTTTGTCAAATTTACCATTCAACAGTTTGTTAATTTAGAGCATTCTGCAAGAGATCCAGAGTCACGTGCCATTCTTTTGGTAAACTGTCTAGAACTCCTTGCCTTCTTTACAGACACTGTCTCTTAAAAATAGAGTTTTTTTTAATGGTTCTGGGAACTCTAGGTCACTCTAAGGCTCTTACCATGAACCATGTTATGTTGTATAGGGTTGCTGAGCCAAGTAGTAGTTTTAGTAAATTTGTTATGTCATACGTTCAGTTGTAGTATTATTATTATTTTAATATTTATCTTTTTAGATAATGAAAGTATGACAGTAATATGGGGTTGGAACTTAAACTTAAAAATACCCTCCTGTGGCATCCGGCATATGACTGTAAAACCCATTTTTGGTTCTAATTGGGACCTTTAATTTAAAGAGTCTAGATGCTTTTTCCTGGTTTATTTGGATTACAACTGGTTTAGTTCTAGTAGGATTTGAGGGAACTAAATTTGAGGGATTTAAGTGTAATTTGAGGTTTGTCTGGAGGCTCCAGACAGCAGGTCTCCAAAAAAAAGTCAAACTAAATTGCACCATGAGTTACACTGACTCCTGTCCTCCTTCAGGGCTCATTTAAGATCTATCCGTTGCCTGACGATCCCTCGATGCCTGTACCCCCACGCCAGTTCTGCAAACTCCCCCCGAACGGTTTAGAGCAGTGCCTGGTACGCGTCTACATCATCCAGGCCTATGGCTTACAGCCCAAAGATGCCAATGGCAAGGTAGGTTCAACACAACCAAAACAAGGCACTAAAGGAAGGAAACATGCGAACAAGCAGTTCGCTTTTCAGTGACCTTGTATATGGCTCGGGGTTGAGAGAGGTTGTTACAACAGCCCTTGTATTTTCACTAGACGCATTCACAAATCTCTAGTTTTTTTCATCAGCCAGAGGAGTCCTTGCAAAGTGCCAGAGTCATAAGAGAGCTGAGAAATTGCTTTATGAAAACATGGAGCCACCCTTTTACCCACAACCGTAAACTCGCAATCACTGCCCGAGACCTGGCCAACACGCCACCACCGCTGGCCCTGCGTCAGATGGGATTTCTCTTCATTAGTTGCGAATATGCTAAGATGACGTGCTTTCATCACCTACTCAGGCCAGGAGTTATGATATGGAACATTTCGTACATGTACTCGCTGCCTATGAAACAGACACTGATCACAGAGATTTGATGCTTTTTTTCCACCGAAAGAGCAAAGAGTGGTTGTTTTAAGTACAAAAAGAGGGCGTGCTGTTTTGGATATTGTCGCTTATAGCATTTATGTGCGACTGTGTGGCTATGTTAACACATACTAACAAGCACTGCTTGTTCTTTCGTAGTGTGACCCCTATGTTAAGATCACACTTGGCAAGAAATCAGTCGATGACCACGACAATTACATACCCTGTACTTTGGACCCTGTCTTTGGAAAGTAAGTTTTTTTTTTCCTCTTTCTTTCTGTCTCTGAACAGATTCACACACACACACATACAGATATAGAAACACGTCATTGCAAGGCTCAATTATACCAGCAGGGGTCACCACAGTCATAATAATGACGACACCCCTAATTCTGAGAGTCTTGATGTTGACTAGGTGCGAGATGGAAGGTTTGATCTGGTGGCTAAATGATGACTGAATAGCAAGCATGTGAATTGCTGATTTTGAAAACATTTAAGCCAAATAATTCAGAGATTAAACTGTGTCTTTTGCTTCTCATTTAGGATGTTTGAGCTGACATGCTCTCTGCCCATTGAGAAAGACCTAAAGATCATGCTGTATGATTATGACATGGTCACCAAGGATGAGAAAATCGGAGAGACCATCATTGATTTGGAGAATCGCTTCTTGTCACGTCATGGTGCTCGCTGCGGCCTGCCACAGTCCTACTGTTTGTAAGAAATGCCTCTGTTTCTGATTGTATATCCTTTCACCTACCAGGTATTATTAGGAGTCATTATGAAAACTGTAAAAATAAAACAGGAAATTAATGTTGTAAAACTTAACTTGATCCAGTGTCATATTGTGATCCTCAAGATCTTCTAAAGACCAGCAAACCATTTTTTTTAAAAACTCTATTGTCATATAATTCTGAAACACATCCCTGCTTAAAAACAACTTCAAACAGCCCATGGTCGAGTGCTGGTCTTAGCTGGTTTAAGATGGTTTTGCTGGTCCCTAACCCTAAGTTTTGATTAACTGTTGACAGTTACAATAACTATGATAACACATTCCGCTTAGTTTTGCATTATAAATAAACTCTTTTTGTCTCTGTGCCGGCTCTAGGTCTGGAGTTAACCAGTGGCGAGATCAGCTGAAACCATCCCAGTTACTTCATCGTCTGTGCGAGAGGCGAAACTACAAACTGCCCGTCTACAAGCAGGACAGAATCTACTTCAGAGGACAGGAGTACACAGTTGCAGACCTTGGTCAGTGTCCTAAACACACACTCCAACTAGTTTCTTACCACTGAATTTAATGTTCATGATATTTGATCATTAATTCTGCGATTGTCGTTACCGAGAGTGGCTTCTCGCATGGGCGCGTACGTACGAATAAACAGAGGCATCGCGACCTATCAAACCCACGGGCTGGACGGCGAAAAAAGAAAGTGGAAGTCTTTTCTTTGGAGCTGCTGAAAACATTAGTCACGAGTAAGAGCTAATCAAAGCAGCAGCCTGACTCCATCACATCTTCCGTCATTAAAAAAAAGCGAGTAGAGCACGAGATCGGCTGCGGTTCTGTGAAAACACTGACAGAAAAAGAATAACGATATATGTCTCGGCTTGTGCCATACATCATATCTGTGTGTGTGGGATCACAGAGCTGTCGGGGAGGCCGCTTGGCTGTTCTTGCTCGGTGCTATGAGCGGAAAGAATGAGTTGTTCCTCTGTACGAAGAAAAACAAGTGTGATATTGTAAAGACGAAGGACCTGTGTAAACATACAGCACCTTTGACATAGTCATTCATTCACAGCAAATTTATCACTCCTTGCCACAGCAACCTGACGTCCCCTCCTGCTTAAAAGTGTGCCCTGGGGAAGATAATGCTAACTAATGCTAGTTCACCGTTAGGTGTATATTATGTTGATCTTACTTGTGCGTAACCTCCATCAGATCCTCCCAGCCCATCTGGTTTGACCTCTAAGCACTTCAAGTCCCACGGCCGCCTTTCAAGCAGTCAGATGTCACGCAGGACCTGTAGAAAGCCAAGCTCTTCCGCCATTTTCCCTTCCATGATGCTTTGGGATGAGGTTGGCTTCAGATTTATGGTGAACTAGCATACAAGTGTGTTCAGCCAAGGTCAACAGTGTGGCGGACTCCTCAGCCTCCTGCTCCCGTGTCTCGCCGCGGAGGAATACTACATCTCTTTGTTTGGCCCTCATAACCGCGCAACCCGCGCGTCAAAGCAATTATCAGGTGGCCTTTTCGGGCGTCCAACTTCATGGCAGAAATTGTCTTCCTCCACTTTAGTCTTTTTCCTCTTTTCTCCACACTCCAACCATGTTTCCCTCAGGGACGTGACACAAGGTTTCAAAGCATAAACTCAACAGTGGGCGTTTATTTATTTTTTTCTTCCCTCGCTCTTTCTTTTTGTTTTTTGACAAGGGGAAACTCTCTTCCTAGAGCAACAGCAGTGCAATCAACGCATCATCTGAGGAACGGGGAAAGATAAACATTTCCGACTATTTAAGTGGAATGCTTCATGAATGTTGGCTTTTTTCTGCTCTCGGTTCCGACTTAATAAAACTTGATGCCCAAATGTTCTTCATATCAAATCAGAGGTTACATAGTGGTTCCATTTCATGGTTTTAACGGAAAATAACATTGTGAGGAATCTTCCTTGTAACTGTTCAACTGTGAAGTGCCTCAACATTTTGTGTCAATATGAATTTAAACTACAGTGACGTTATTGTTGACTACATTTGGCCCTCAGATGAAGGGAAACCTCTTAACCCTCACCTGGGACTAGTGATGGAGCGTCTAGCTCTCTTGGTGTTGAGGAGACAGGGTCTGGTGCCCGAACATGTAGAGACGCGACCCCTCTACAGCCCCCTTCAGCCAGATATAGAACAGGTTACAAAGTTTAATATTCCTATTACCAAAATAATTTTTTTTGTTATTTTATAACATTTTATATGTATCATTTACATGCATTTTTATTTTTGTAGATTTTATGCAAAATTGCATATTTTATTCTATATTAATGTAAAATGTAATAGTTCATTTTATCTTATAGTAAATATGCAATGTATTTATTTCATTCTATACTAAATTTTATTAAGTAATATACATTTTTTTTTGTTTATGTAATGAAATTTATTTTATTCTTTAATTTTGAAAAAAATGTATACAATTAAATTAAATTTTAATTATTTTTTTTTTAGCAGAGCCACGTTATATCATATAGCTATCTCTATGCTTGTCTCAGGTTTTTCTTGATATGCCCTCTCACTCTTTACTGAGTAATTTAATTTATTAAAATCCAGGGGCGGTTGCAAATGTGGGTGGACATTTTCCCCAAATCTTTAGGTCCACCAGGACCTCCGTTCATACCAAAATAATTTTTTTTGTTATTTTATAACATTTTATATGTATCATTTACATGCATTTTTATTTTTGTAGATTTTATGCAAAATTGCATATTTTATTCTATATTAATGTAAAATGTAATAGTTCATTTTATCTTATAGTAAATATGCAATGTATTTATTTCATTCTATACTAAATTTTATTAAGTAATATAAATTTTTTTTTGTTTATGTAATGAAATTTATTTTATTCTTTAATTTTGAAAAAAATGTATACAATTAAATTAAATTTTAATTATTTTTTTTTTTAGCAGAGCCACGTTATATCATATAGCTATCTCTATGCTTGTCTCAGGTTTTTCTTGATATGCCCTCTCACTCTTTACTGAGTAATTTAATTTATCAAAATCCAGGGGCGGTTGCAAATGTGGGTGGACATTTTCCCCAAATCTTTAGGTCCACCAGGACCTCCGTTCAACATCACGCCACGCAAAGCCAAAAAGTAAGAGCATTTCCTTGGTTTAGTATCTATCAATTTTGTTCTCAAAACACATCTAGAAGCATAAAGTGTCCATGTTTTCTTCTCCCATAGGTTCTTCCTGCGCTGTATTATATGGAACACAAGAGATGTTATCTTGGATGATGTCAGTGTTACTGGGGAGAAGATGAGTGACATTTATGTGAAAGGGTACATCTGGGTGTCATAAATGGGTTGTTGGGTTTGTGTGTATAAGCTCTGGTTAAATGAAGTTGTTCTTGTTTCCCATTTCATGGGCCTGTTGCTTGTCTGTTGCCACTGTGACCAATAGTAACAACGGCTTGCAAAAATTATCGATCAGTAGCAACAAACACACAGTTGCAAGGCAACCATAGACCCAAGCTGTAGGCCAATTACAGCTAAGCAGCATGGTCTTCTAATGTGTTGGAAATTATGTGCCGGGTAATTGTGAATGTTATTTTTTCAATCCTAGCTGGATGCATGGCCATGAAGAAAACAAGCAGAAAACAGACGTGCACTATCGATCGCTGGGCGGCGAAGGCAACTTTAATTGGCGCTTCCTCTTCCCCTTTCACTATTTACCTGCAGAACAGCTATGCACCGTTGATAAGAAGGTGAGACGTAATCTGCATTTGTAAATTAAGTGGAAACCAACTGCATGTCAATTGAGAAAGACATAAAGGAAAACTCAAAATGAATCTGAACTGTTGATAAGAAAGCAGGATATGATCTGCATTTGTGAGTTTAGTGGAAATATGTCAATTGTCAATTGAAAAAGACGTAAAAAGAAAACTCGGACCGGATTTGTTTAGTGGTTAACTAGTGACGCTAGGCCTGTCGACATTTATATCCGCACCCTGCGCTTCAGCTATGTTGTTGAAATGAAAATCTCCGGCCTTGATTGAATCTGAATAGGTGATCCGCAGGTCATCCTGCGTGATTTGCAGAGGTTTAGTCTAACGGCCACATTTTGAAGGATATCACTGCAGTTGGCAGGTGTTTAATGCAATGTTTCAAAGCCAGATATGTTGCAGGCTGCATCTGGCACGCTTCCACTTACCGAACGTGGTACATGAACATCTTGTAACGGCGAGACAGTCCAGACTTCAGCCAAGCAATCTCAGGGAAAACAGTTGTGATGGACAAGGCACTTAAAGTGAGGTTTTGGCAGGCAAGAGATCAGTTATGGTAAGATTGAAGATAGCGGTTCCACCCATTAAACTGAGAGCGGCCCGCAACAGCTGTCAAAAGATAGATCCGCTTTGGCTGAAATTTGTTGGACGCAACACACAATAGAACCGATATACAGCGAAACGGATTATCTTGCATGAAACGTGGCCCTCGGGGATAAATTAGAAGTGAGTTCTTGTTTGCAGTGTTTGTTTTGATGGAGCTGTATGCGGTTGTCAGGCAGGATGTGCGGACCGATGAGGCCTGTTTACCGGTGAACGCAGCAGTGCAGCTCTGTGAAACGTGAGTTCATTATCCTTGTTGTGTTTGTCCGCACATCCATCACGGGTACAGTACGGTGGGAATGCTGTCACGCAGATGGAATCCTGTCTGGCGGTGGGGTGCTGATTCAGGGCTGTAGTGGGAGTAGCTAACACTCTTTTCTGACTGGGACTTTTCTGTCGCTCTCGGTGGCTCTCACTCACTCTCTGTCTCTCACCCTCTTTCTAATTCTGCTTCGCACATTCACGCTATCATTTCCTCACTCTGTCTTTCTCAGTCGCTGTCTTGGTCTGTCGGTTTATTTCCACCTCTCTGTTTCTCCTTGAGGTGGTGTTGCTCATTAGTGGTGCTGGGTACTAATAGGTTGTTGGGTCAGATTTCACAAGCAAGGCAATTAGTAGTAATGATTATTGGATATTTGAGATTTTTAAATATATTTATATATTGAAAATGTCATTGTTATTGCTCATTTCCCCCTTTATTTTTTTACATTTAGATGACCTTAAACTCACTTAATCTTTAATACATTAATAAAAAATAAAAAGTGTTAAATGTAAGATTTAGCAAATATCAAAATGAATATCCATTTTTCATACTGTACAAGTAGTATTACCTAAGTTCACTTGTAGCATTTAAAATAGTTAATTACAATTTTTGTTTTATATTTAACTTTGTTTAGATAAAACCGTGTAGAATTTTAACATCAGTTGTTTATCAGGTTATCCGTCAGTATTACATTTTTAACCAAAATTGCTCAATATTGGAAATTTAATTGTACAAGCTCATTCACCCTGTTTTTACGCACTAATAATTAAACACTGTTACATGTTACCTTCAGCAAATCTCAAAATGAATATAATTTTTTCATATTGTGCATGATAGCATTTTGATGTTTAAATTCACTTGTAGCATTTAAAATGATTGATTTTGGATATTTGTTTTATTTAAAATTTTAGACATAATATTCTAAAAATATAAATACAAATATTTAGAAAATATAATTTCATACCTGCCATATGTATATGTATTATTAACTCTAACTGAAAATAATGATTGGCTTGTCACTATCAGACAGAATGGAAATATTGCACATCTCTAGCACTTAGCCTGGGTTGCTTAAAATAATATTTCAGGTTCAGTACAAGTTGGGCTCACTCGACAGCATGTTGGTTACAGCAGAAAATACACTTTTCAAGGTTACAGTTACAATAAAAATAAACACACAATGAAATTAACAGTTCAATTTACAAAAGCGCAATTACAAATCAGTAAGTATTCGTATATTATAAAACATGCTAGAATGTAATAAACTATTATTATAATTTTTCAGAACTATGCTGCTATGAAGATGGTTGGACCCTTCAGTGGAGTGGGAAAGGGAACGCAGTGAGACTGTGATGAGAAAAAGGACATAAACCCTCACATCAATTACCAACCACACCAAAACTCCATCCACACATCTCTGTCCATCCTACTGGTGCTTGTGCATGTGTCCTCGAGAAAACTGAAGGCAGGCTGAGATAATTAGAAGTCTTTGTGTGCGTTAGCCTGTTCTAGTCCTACATGCATGAAAGTTGCATGACGTCTGTGTGTGTTTGTACATGTATTACACGCCACGCTCGCTGCCCCGGTCCTGAACTCTCTTAGTATTCTCTTTAACTCCCACTTACACTTTCATCTCTCTGCCGGTTTAATCCTTTTTCATGTCTCCTGTAAAACTGGCTTCTTTCTTCACAGCCAGATGCTTCTTTCTTCTTCCTTCATGCGGAGAGAGGGAGACAGAGCCGTGTCCCACCACCTCCCATCCATTCGTTCCTCTCCTTTCAACAGCACTGGCTCTTTAGGTTAAACCCTGATTTGTACCGTTAGGCTGTAAGATCCGAGACAGGCCGGTTATTAGCTGAGCCCCCGCTGTCAGCAAGCCCACCTCTCTGATTACTATCACACTCTGTTATTTTGCTTTAGCAAAATCCCCACTAAATGGACTGGGGGTCAACTGTGGGTTGGCAACATGTATGTGGAATGTGGGCAGCGAACGAGAACGAGAGATAAAAGACTTGTTTATTTGTGCAAATGTTACACTTACGCCCTTTGTGCCTTTTTGCGTTTGACTCTGTAAAGTATGAAAATGAACAGGCGCATCTGGAAGAAGTTGCCAGACTTCTAAACATGCCTGTGAAGGAGCTGTTACATGATAAAATACACAAATTACTTGTTTTCTCTCCATGACCAGGTCGTGAGCGCCTCTTTTACCTAGTTCAGTGAGAAGAAACTATTGTGGAGTCACATTTAGTGAAACTGGAATCTCAAAACTTCAACTCTTTGCATTACACATCACATTTATGTGATGAAGCTTCTCTACGAACAGGAAACGTCAAGAGATCTGGGTTAATCCGACCTAACCTGCTGGATTTCCGGAAGTGTTCACATTTTATTTAAAAAAATGAGGGCAGAAGTAGTGAAGAAGGGATTTGATGTTTCCATAAAATCACTGATTTGACAGTAAAAATGATGCATTCTTATCTCTGTTACAGAAAGAAAAATATGAGCGATTACATTTTTTTTTTCATCGTAGCTATTTTCTGCACATCTGTGCAATATCACTGATTTATGAAAGGAAAGTGAATAAGATAAAACATAAACCAAAAAGCCGTGCCTAAGCGATCTCTTGCCAAATATTGTACAGTATATAGCTGAATAACTGATTTATGCAAAACACAAATCCCTATGCTGAGCATCTATGAATAGTTGTCATTCATATACAAGTTTTGCAGTAAGTCTCTTAATTTGACAATCATAATGAACATTTCTGTTTTTGAACTTCTGAATGATTTAATGATGCACGTCGTCTAATTGCCTTAAAGCTTCTGCTGTCATCTCAATTCACTGTGTTAAATCAACTGTATTTGTATCTCACTGTAATCTGCTATGGTCAAATATATACCTTTATATACCATTTTGTATATATTTATCTGTTTATTTTGAGTCAGAAGTTTCTTCTACAGAGCTGTGTTGCTTTTATTTGAATTTTTTTCATCAGATCCGCAGACCACCTTATGTGCAGATTTAACCTTTGAAGCCAAACCACAACAAACTGGTCAGGGTGTTTGACTTGAGAGCAAATTTGAAGCACTCCAGCGCCCAGCCAGGGTTTCATGGAGCCAAGGGCAACTTACTCTTGCATTTCTACCAGCTGTTCTGTAAAGTGAGTGATTTAAAATATGATACAATATATTTCTGATACAATGTTCTGAGCTCACTTTTCATTTGGTGTAGGGTACTCTTACAGTACATGGGTCTTGACTAACTCTTAACAGTGTAGGGAGGAAATGTTAAATGTTATAACGTTGTAAATCTGGTGAGTATGACACCATTTTGAAGTCTCTCACACTCTCTCATTCATTGTAACAAGGTTTCAGAATATAGAAAGGGCCATATCATAGTATCCAGTGCAAGTTATAACGGAGTGCTAGATTTGGCACCCAGTGAAACCACATCCTCACTGTACCTCTGTGTATTGCTCCAGCCCAACCTGAATGGGACCATGGACACTAGTTCATGTATATGAAAGGAGTAAGTTTTGGAAGTCAGTAAGATTTTTTGTTAACACTTTATTTTAAGGTGTCCTTGTCACACACGCTACATGTTACTATTATAATAACAATTACTTATGCATAATTATATGCAAGTGGCCCTAAGACAAAACCTAATCCTAACCCTAACCACATAGTAAGTACATGCAGTTAATTAATATTACTCGGCACTTAAATGTATAATTACACTAACGATTACACCTTATTTATATATAAAATGAATACTTTTATGTAACAAGTGCACATTAAATTGATTAAAAGTGACAGTATTTTTTTTATTTGAATATTTACATTTCTATTTTAAAATCTTCTTTTGAACTTTCTGCTCATTATAGAATCTTGAATAAAACAAAATGTGTCACTCTTTCCACAAAAATAAGAAAAAAATATTAACCTTTGCCATCAAAGGAATAAAACAAAGTATTTGGAAACAGACATTATAAACTGTAATAATATTGCGATATTTAAAAATAATAATATTTTAAATATTTTTTCTGTATATTTGATCAAATAAATGCAGCCTCAGTAAACATGCATATACTGCATATATATATATATATATATATAAAAGACAATTAAAATAATCTTGTGGATATAAACTTCATCACTTTTTCAGTATTCCTTTTGTATAGTTAAAAGTAATCAGAAAACCAGGTCAGTGCACAATATTGGTGTACTAGTGCATGAGCACAAAATGTATTCATTCAGAAAGTCTATAAAGAATACCTTTTTTTTTGTCTGCATACACATTTAATGTGGAATCAAATCTATATCATTTAGATTTGTGGAAATTAGACTTTATCAAGGCAAGAGTTGATGTACAATTACCCAAAATCAGGCTCATTGACACTTGAAAAAGACAAAAAGGAGAACAAAAGATTTTGTTTCTATACAGGAGGGGGGAAAAGTCTTGTACAGCAATTTCCTTATGTACAAAATCAACTCAATCTTGCTCGGGTATTGATTTGTTTCCTAGCTTCTGTAAAGGAAGTGACATCATAGTCATGTCAAACATACAAGACAATGCTTGAACAGCAAAAGAGATGAAATCCGCACTTTTCACTTACCCGTGCGTGAACTTGTGAAGTCTGCAAAGCATTGACTGTAACTTTGTATCAACAGTCTTCTAGTTTTCCTTAATTGCTGCTGCCTTTCTCCCGCTTTCTCCGTTTCTTCACTTCGCCCTGTGTAGATAACAGGCACGTGAATGTCAGGCTCGGTTTGGGTGTGTTATTTCAGCCTCGGTGAACTTCCTGTGCTCCCTGACCGCAGTCCACATTCTGCGTGTGTGGGAGACCCTTGTCACCACTTTTGGTCTCTCCTTTGTTTTGGGGAAATATCAGATGTCACCAGCTGAGGGGTTTCTACTAATTAGGCCCCTGATGCAAACAAGAAAAAATATGGCAGTATTACTTAAATTGACAGTGATATCAATACTAAATACATCTTAGCCTGGTTTAAAATAGGCCTTTGAGTGAAAGTCAAGGCCTTTGTTTTTGCATTTTAATGGGTTTTACTATGTTTGAGGCAAAGGCATGACTTGTTCCCCGCATGGAAAAGGATCGCTGGGCTTAACATAACTTATTTTTAATGTTTCTTGAGTGAGAACATGGAAAAATTCAGACAGTCAACATCAAAAAGCCTTTCCTATAAAACCACATCTGCATTGACTGCTTTGACCTTGCCAAGAATGCCCCCAGCCGCTATCTCACCAAATCCATGTAGACAGCATTAATGGATTAATAACACCAGAATTATGGGAACATCATGGGTGCTTTAAGAAATAGATGATTTTGGACGTGGGTTCTCGATAATTAGCCATCTTTGGATTTGCATTTGTTGCATGTTTATTCGCTGCCTTTATGGCAGCTAACTGCATAATAGTCTCGCTAAGTGGCCTCTTAAAGTGCATTTTGCAAGCATATACATATGTATTATCTCATTTTACACTTAATTATCAACTGAATAAACAAGGTGGAATTTTGAACTGCGAAATGGAAAAAGCTATATAATTTTACAAGCAGAGCAATCACTAGATTTTTGATGTGTTGAGTCACCTTTGTTTCTCTTGCCTTTGTTTTGACAATGCCTGAGGTTTAGCATGTTTGCTCTCTCTGGATAGTGAAATGATGCACTTTCGAAACATTTTAATGAAATCGTTTTTTTTTGTTGTTGTTTTTTTTATCTGAATTTTTTTCTGGACATGAATTGATCATCCACCATAATCAAATTAGTTATTATCATAGCTAGATAAAATGTGCAAATACACTGAAACATACAGTCAGCACATTTAAAACATAAGCTTGATGTAAAAAAAGTTACATTCTTTTAGGTTCATATAATACTAAATTATGAAATTAATAAGCAGGGTTAATTGCAACTAAACCATGAAAACCTTTCTTTTTCATTAATTGAAATAAACGACAACTATTAAACTAATAAAATTTGCAAAAACATAAATTACAAAAAAAAAAAGTTCTGGACATTAATTGATCATCCAACATAATCTCATTAGCATAGGTACATAAAGTGTGTAAAGACACTGAAACATGTTCTGACAGCATCTTTGAGACATAAGCAAGTTCAATTATTTTAGGTTCATAGAAATTCATGAAATTAATAGGGAGGGTTATTATAGTTTATTAAAACGAAACGTTAATTGAAATAAACTAAAACTATATTTAAAAATAAATAAATAAAATAAAAGTGGCAAAAACAACTAAATTACTAAAACTTAATATGAAAAGGGAAAATATGAAAAAAATCTATATATTAATGAAAAATATAATAGTATCTCGATACTAAAAACTGTTCATTTATTGTTTTTATTGTATTTACTCTGTTCAATGTTCATTATCATTCACAAAATACTTGCTTACAAATATCTATATAATATTTTACTGTAACTTGAATTGTATCTATATACAATATAATAAACATCTGTATCATATTATAATGCACAAATATGTTTTATGTTTCTGTGCGTATGTACATACTTTTTACTTTGTAAATATATCTTAAATGCTGTCAGTATATCCATGTCGTACATTTCAGCATATCCAAAATGTGCTTTAAAAATACAAATACCTACAAATACTAATGAGACTGGACTGGATCTTCACAGAATTTGTTCATATTTTTTGACTTACTGGACTGGATCTTCGCATGTTTGTAAATTAATATTGGGAGCTGCCATTTCATTCTCTATTCTAAGTTATTCCTGTTACAACAGTGCCCTCTCACCCTTGTACACACATGGGAACCACAATGGAGGTGGGTTTTATGGAGCAGTGTGCATACTGTAATTGTTTGCATGCTTCATGCATTCTGCGAGCAGCAGGGTGGTACGCACATGATGCCCTACTGAGTATTTCTTACAGACACGTCTGGCTCACAGCCTATCCTTGAGTTTGGACCATGACAATAAAAGCTCCTGCTTCAGGTCTGCCTAGTTCTCATCCACAAAACCTCCAAAACCGGCTATTAGCTAGACATACCACAGTGCCTGACAGTAAGCGGCAGAGAGCATGATGAGAAAAAAAGGAAGGGAGGAGAGGAGAAAAATGCTGGGAAATGAAGTCACTGAAAAGCAATCGGAGGAATGCAAAGGATGCTTATTATTAAGACATTGAATTAAACCTTTTGTGGTTCCAAGTTAATGAAGGCGGAAGGGTCCGAGGGTGTTAAACGACAATGGGAAAGACAAGCTCAGATGAGTCCTTACAAGACCTTTAGTGATGGAAGACAAGTGTGTGGCTTGTGGCCACTCGGTTTTTACTGGCTGTATTTCAGATGTGAAGGCATCAGTCTCGCATTATGATGTCTGGGAACCAAACTCCACACACTCTCATTGCAGCAGGAGGAAGCATTATAGGTCAGCTAACAGGAAGTGAAAAATGCCCGTTTCTTTGAAGTTATAATGCGGGAGAGTAAACTCTAGCTTCAAGCATCTAGCCCTTTGCGTCGTCGTCTTCAGGCAGAACAATGTGTTTCTTTGTTGTGGGAAATTGCATTGCAATCCCCAGTGGTATTCGGTTTTACCACTTTTTTTTTTAATCCAAGCTTCAAATGTGCCCACAATTATTTTGTTTCCAGCAAAGCAGTGCGCTAAATAACAGTTAGCATCAGTAGCGTACAATGTTCCCATTTACAATTACAGCCGAAAGCGCTCTATTAAATTTACAGAGATTTTCATTTTAATTATAGGGAAACATCTGAGCAGCTGACCAAACCTTCATAAACACCACATTCTGGTGGTTTCGGATCAGCTGGGAGGGAGAAAGTGCCATTTAAGTATGTAGTTTTCATGTTGTATTTCTACAGACAGATCATAAAAATGACCTCCAGCGTCTACTTTTAATCTACTTCTTACCCTCTCCATGCAAATCCCATTATAAATGATGTTCAGTTCTGTTTACGGTTCTTCCGCCAGACATGGACAGAATGCCTTACTGAATTATTTTGACAATGCTACTGAATCTATAGCGTGAAGTGCGACCAGTGTAACTCACTTCACAAACAAAAGACTGTTACTAGCTGCATCTTTTAAGTTAATCAAAAACTTACATTCTAGTTGTTGAATGAACGACTCTAAGAAGTTCTTGTTAGTAAATGAAACACATGCAGCGTTGTTTCTTCTGCCTCCTATATGGCTAATCTGACCCAGGCCTGCTGTATGACCACGTCTCTGTCTTTATCAAATAAAGCTTGCACATGGATCCGCAAGTCTCACGTCTCGTCAGCCCCGTAACAATATTCTTGATTAATTCATATTCTGATTAATAATATGATAAATAATATTTAAATAATCTTCCACTGCAGCTTTGTTGAGTTTTCTACATAGTAAAGGCCAATTATTGAAAAGTCCTTTCAGAAAAAAAAAAGTTTTACATGGATTTACTATTAAAATTATATAATCATTTGGCTTTTTTGCATAAATTTAAAACATTTTTCAAATATTTATTCCTTAGAAGAGAACCACCGAGGAACCGAAATGATTGATTACTGGAATAAACCAGAGCCTGAAATATTCAAATCTTGACTATTCCTATTCTGAAAGATGAGCTGAACATGTGTCCACATATTGATACCAATGCTACATTGGCTTTCTGCATGACCTAAAGTTTGATCAGCATGACACTTCCAAATCCACCACACAATTTTCTCAGAAGCTTTCCTAAACCAAAGACAAAAGACTATGGCATCAGTGGTGTTTTACTAGCAATTTTTGCAATCATTTCTGGACAGGACATTTTAATCATTCCATTTTACTGATGCAAAACAACGAAAATGCTACAGTGTGGCGAAGGAACTGTTTTTTCAAGTAATAAAGTGGTTAACATCTTTATTACCATTCAGAGAAATACTGGAATCTGCTGGAAATGCTGTCCAGTCTGAAAATGTGGCTTGGAAAAGTTTGTGAGTCATGTTAATTTCACTTTTTATATTTCTAATCAATTTATTACAGTTTCTGTGACTCTTTCTTCTTGTATGCTGCCTGCAAAAAGAGATGACCTGTGAACTTTATGAATCATAGCATCGCAAAAAACTTTAATAGATCAAATGACTGGCAACTCACATTACTTTGTGATATAATATCCTGTTGCTGTTTGATGTTCTTTTTTTGTTTCACATTTGTTTCCAGTTCTGCAAAAATGCAGTTCCCTCCAAATTTCCTTAACCTTTCATTCACCCCTATAAAACCGAGGGGAATGGTATCAGTGAAAAAACAATATTTCTGGATTTTATATGGGTGATTATTATGTTTCATAAAATAAATTAATTTAGGATTTGTGTGTTACATCTGCCAACCAGTGAGCCCACTACTTCATTTCCCCTCATTTTAGAGGGGGAAAATCTTTTGGTATTATTCCCTGTTCAGAATCATTAGGGCCTGGTATGTGGAGCTTGTAAAGTTCACATTTTCTGACTTTCAAAGAAGACTTTCAAGGCATGGTGTTCAGGCTCAAAATGATCAAAAACAAGGTATTGATTCCATAATGGCAGCGAAATCTGTCACTCCTCCACAACAGTTAGTGTTTGACCTGTAAAGAATGCCTTTGAATCCAGAGCAAAGGAATTCGCCTTGAGCCAGTGCTTCCATAATGAAAAAGACTAACACCTTACGTGTCAGAGGTTATTAAATCATAACCAGGAGTGCTTTTTTTCTACCAGGCTTCAAACATCAAAAGTATGAGCTGTATGAGTGTTGAGCTCAAAAGGAGAGTGTCAGCTAATCGTAGCTCTACGCAGACCTCTGCTACCCTTTCCTCCATTCCATACCAAACATAATCAAACAATGTCTTTAGAATCAAATTAAATTCCATTAAAACCATAATGGGATTACACTTGTTTGCGGTCATGTTTAGAAGCGAGAAACGGCACCACCCTTCTGCTATTTAGTCCTCAACACACCGTCATTATCACGTCTGCACTTGCACAATACTGTCTAAATTAATTTGCTTGTATTTCTTGCTCCATGTTGCACCAGATGTTTATATCTATTTTTTATTCATTTATCGTGCAACATTTTCAGCATCTTGCTAACAACAATTCAAATTGCAGTTTATCAGCCAAGCACTTTAGATTGACATTGTGTTGTATCTTTGTTGAATATGCCTACCACGCACATAAAAAGCTAAACCAGAAGCAAAATGTTCATACTGCTGGTGCTCCCAACACCGCACCAGAGCTCCATTGTGTTTCTGTGTGTTTTTATTGCAAAACCATAATTCACTAACAAGGTTTTACAGTGAGTGTTTCCAAATTATAATTATTGAATAAAAGTCATTTTTATATGTGTGAGCTGTTCCCTATAGACTTAGGCCTTATAAAGCACACTGTAATTGCTCTTGTCAATTACACTCATAAAAAAGCTAAGTGACAATATTCTATGTGCCAACTGTACCTTACAGACATAGACGTATTTTGAATTTGTAGCAGAAGCTATTTCTTTAATGCTAGCCATATGAGCACACAATAAAAATAAAATCCCACATCTAAACTACATCTGTTTTTTTGTTGTCTGTCAAAGCCGGTAAAGCATGGCAATTATGGCATCATTATGGAAATATACTTGTTCAATAAAAGAACAAGGAATCTGAAATCCGGTTATACATTGTGAACTTTTAGGGAAGACATTTTTGAAAGAAAGGAATGCAATTTGCTTGCCAAATCATTTTAATATTTGGTTCATAGTGAAAATTAATAACTAACAGTTCAGTAATTCAGTCAGATTAACTAAAAAACCACTCAAACTGATTCATAAGCACCCAGTGTTTGGAAGGTTACTAGTGTAGTAGTAGTGTAACTATTTTAATTAATTTATTAAAGTAATGTAACTGATTACATTTTGATCACTTTTCTAAATTTCTAACGTTTTCAACTGTTCATCATTTTGAAACATTTAAACCATGCAGGCAGGGTTAACCTTACAGTAGTATTCAACACTGATCACTGTCACTGTCAAAATCCTTCATCACTTGAATTAAGATTATAATAATCTAATTTTAAAGCACAGCCACCACAAAATCACACTTACTTTGAGATTATTCTGAGGTTAAATACAGATTTAAAACCATAACAATAAATAGTTTAGTAGCTGTCATACTGTTTTTGAAATCAGATATTTGCATAGTTATTACAGGAAACACTGGCATCGAACAATGGCTTGGAAAAAACTGTTAATTGTAAAAAATAAAGCATATACATAAACCCAAATAGGAAATAAAACAGTTATTGAATAAGCATGTGTCCTATTCTGTGCATTAAACTCCTGAAACATTGGTGTCTCATATTTTAGAGCAGTCACTGCAATTTCTGAAAGAAATCAATTAAGTACTGTAGGGGTGTTTGAAAAAAAAAAAATCAGATGTAACCCCCTTTGTAATCGTTAACATTTTTATAAGAAGGCCTAACTGTAATTTAATTGCACATTTTTTCTCGGTAACTGTAACTGATTACAATTACATTTATTTTGTAATTAAATTATGTAATTTAGTTACATGTAGGCCTAACTAGTTACTTCCCAACACGGTAAGCACCCTATAACAACTGGCTTCACTGGTCACGCTATATGTCTCTTAAGAGTCATTTGCTCAGGAATCGGACTTCACTGATTACGCTATGCTCTTCTTCACTAAAAGAAAGGGCAGACACATTTGCTTCAGAATCAGACTCCTCTGATTGCATTGTATGTTTCACGCAGAGTATTAAAGCCAAGAACACTTTCAGAGTATTTTGGCACGGTGCTCCATCCACACTGGCAAAATAATGCAAGCTCAAAAACCGTTACTGGACCTGAATGTCATGAAAATCATTCGGTTCTAGAAGGTTTTTTCAAAAGTGGAACCGCGGTTTTAAATAAGAACGGGTTCTCGGTTTCCAATCCTACTCCCAACTCTCTCGGTACGGGCCCCGACTTTTTTACGCCCCTCGGGCCGGGCTTCGGGACAATTTTCACGTCATAGTTCAAACGCGGGCCGGGCCTCTGGCCTGTTTTAGGCTTCTCCTTATTTTTGATATTTTAGACATCCATCAATTAGTGATGAAATAAATTGCCTCGCTGGTGGAAACAACACGAGACAGTGCTGCCGCGACTGTCAAGAGCGGCTCGATGGGGTTTAGTGTCCCGCAGCAGCAGTATGTATGGTGCGTGCTGTCAAGCTCAGCTGAACAGTTCTGCATTCAAATGCAAGCAATAGGCTTAGCAACAGTAATTACCATAAATGTAACAGGGGGAAATAGTAAGGAGATATTTGAGTTATTTACTAATAAACTAGTGTTTTCTGAGTCGGTGTCGCAAGGATGAAGTTGCCGATCCTGACTTACCATCTCCTCAGATGCGCCTTTAGAGAGAAGTGCATCTTTACGGATTATGATTATAATGAAATAGTTTTTGGTTTTGATTTGTTTTATAAGTAGTAATTTAAAGCTTTCTATAGATATATTTATCATGTATGTGAGACATGTATTAGCTGAGTTTTGGTTCATTTTTGTGAAGCGCTCCTGTTCAAGACCATCATGTTTGTTTTCTTTATTTTATAAAAGCACAACGTTTTGTTGATATTGTGAGTGCACACAAATAAAAGTAGACCCTTTACAGCTACGAATGATGTATTACTTTATAATATACCTTTATGAGCAAAAATGATGGCGTATCCACTGAAAAAATTGCAAGTGATCGCGCTGGCGCCTCCATGCCCTGCAAAGCGCGCTTTAGCTTCCACTCTCCGCACAAACTATTGGATATAGCGCACATTTATCTAGGTTTAACGTTTAAACATTGTTATATGCTTGAACTGTTTTATATCTATAGATTTTATTTTAGGCAAGTCCTGATGCCTTGAAAAGGCTAAAATTTAGCCGCTAAATTGATCAAACATAGACTCACTGTCTGCCGCTGGCCGCTTGGTCGTTTAAAGAGACAGCAACTTATATTTAACGAACAAAAAATGCTCCAAACGTTTTTTAAATTAACTTAATAAAAAAACGAAACGAAATATAATCATTTTGCTATTAAATACAAAACTGAACTATTTTAATAGCTGTATAAACTGTTTTGGGAGAAGGGGAAAAAAAGACGCGCTCGGGCTCGGACTCGGGCCGGTAATTCTGATAAGCTGTCGGACACGGGTCAGGGCC